GGTATACTTTGAAAACAAAGAAGATATGATAAACTGCTCAAGATTTGCAGTTTATTATTATAATAACAGACTCATATAGGTAGTAAGCAGAAATAATTTTTACGAAGACAAAAGTCATCAAGAAGATCAAATAGCTCTTCTGCAGCCATAGTACCTAGTATGAAATCAATTACTGCTCTTGTTTTTCTATATGTTTCTTTAATTATTTCGATATGATTAACTCTTCTGAAATATCATATATTTTCAAAAATTTGTGATCTTTTTGCATAACTTGGAAGATCCCAAACTGTTATCACATTTCTGATATTATTCATTGCTTTTGTTTCTGTTCATTGACTGCTGTTAGAATTCTTTCTTTCTTCAGAGAGTGCTTTTCTTTTGTTATCTTATACAGATCTCTCTCTTCTAAGGTTGTATACTTTTTCTAACTCTTTTTGGGCTTGTTTCTCTCTTTTGGCTTTATTGTTTTCTTCATCATTTACTTTGTCTTTGGTTAGTACCTTTTTTGTTTTCTCTTTGGTCGCTTTTTCACTGTTTTTGTTATCACTTTTGCTTCCTAATACCTTCTGCACTAGCTCGTTATCTTCAAACAAAATGTTGTATTACTCATTTGCTTTTTTCTTTAATCTTTCTTTTAAGATTTTAACTCTTTTGTAGCAGTCAAAGCTGATAATAACTCATGAGTTCCCATTCGTAAAGCACTCTTCAATTTTGCTTATATGTTTGCTTCTATAGAGAGTTCCTTCTACAAACTTGATTCTCTCTTCTTTAGACTTACCTGAGAGTAAAATTGATACTATTTTTGCCTTGTACTCTCCTAGTTCTTCACATGTGTTCTCATTGGAGGCCCAGAGACTATCTTTGAGAGAATTCCTATATAGTTCTTCATATCCTAATACTTCTTATTCTACTATATCTTCTACGATTTTGTTTTCTACTTGTGGAATATAGACTTCTATTTCTGCTTTAAGTGTTACTTCAGCTTCTTGATATATTTGTATTATTGTATTTGTAATACTACTAGCTATTTCTTCTATAGTGATCTTTGGGAACTCTATTGGTTGATTATTTTGGAACAGGATTTCTATTGCTGTTTTTCCTTTGTTAGTCTTCTTTTCTTTGATCCTTTTGACTTCCTGAGTAATAAGAAATTCATAATTGCAGAGCATCTCTTCTTCTTCCTCTTTTTCTTTAACTATTAATAGCTCTTTTTGCTTATGATCTAGTCTAGTCTTTTCTATTTGATTATATTTTTCTTTTAGTTTCATTTCTTCTTTGTATTGCTTTTCTAGTACTGTTCTCTTTTCTTTGCTATTATGCTCAGCTTCTCTTCTTTTTTGCTCTTCTGCTGTCAGTAGTTCTTGTTCTAGTTCGCTAAGTGCTATTTTTAGTATCTCTCTTCCTTCTTCGAAATAAGTTAATAATAAAGAATATATAATAGTAATAAAGAGTATAATAAAAAATATAGCAAAAGTATAATAATATTTAGTAAAGTCTAAATTATTCTTACTATTAATTATATTATAGCTTATATCAATAAAAATTAATAGAAATATGCAATTTAATACTAAAATCAAATTTATCTTATGATTTACTATATTCTGTATTTTAAAAATTAATTATATTATTGTTTATACTAATTATTCTAAAATATAATTACAAAATTATATAATAAATATTTTATACTTAAAAAATTTTTTGGCTAACTCTTTTCTGTAACTTATTCTACCATACTGCACCAAAATAGAAAAAAAGAAAAACAACAAAAACAAAAAAAACCTTCCTTCTAGAAGAACTTTAAGTAAAAAAAAACTGTTATTCACAAATAAACTAATAACTACTACTTCAAACAATAACTTCACTATATCTAAAAATACAGAAAAAACTGAAAAGAGATGCTATCTCTCTAAAAACAATATTAATATTGCTCTTTTCAAAAACAATAATATCCCTTAATCAACACTCTCTCCGTAGATCAATTTTACCAAAATTCAAGATAAAGAATAGTCTATAGAAAACTCTTTAAATAGCTTAAGAAACACAACATAGTTCACTAAGATAAAAGTTTTAG